GTGGTCTATGACTGCACGTGTGGTGTCAGACCAGTACTGTTGATTATGCATTGCTGGTACATTATCTGTCCAATTATACTAGAATGGCAGCAACCAATGGTTGTGTAAACCAATTTATCTGAGTTTTTCTCCTCTGTCATAACCACCTAATAGATTCTTAAAGATTGTCCTGTAATAGTAAATACACATAATACTACTGAAGTGGTTCTTTAGGTTAAAGGATAGGTTCACCTTTACCAACATGTTACACTCATATTTAGGATTGAACTTTCTCAGCCCCAGATCCCCCCCCCTCCATGTGACAGTGGGCAGGGGTTTCTCGCCCTCACAGGTGCTTTCGCATTTAATAATCAAACTGGATGTGCGGGGTTCCGTCCATACAGCAGCATCCTTCATTTAGAGATGAATGAATTAATAAACTACATGTCGTGTCTGCCACCACAGCACACAGCTTGTAGTTCTCAATGGGCTATGAGTGTGTAGGCAGGCGTCTATAAGATGCTTTAATATTGGAGATTGCCCAAGTGGGAAAGTGTTAGTGTTGGATCTACCAGTTTCCTGTGTTTCTTCTGGACCGCCTGTTTATATCCATGTGGTGGGATATAAAGAGGCTTTGTCCAGGGAGCTCTAGAGAGGACCACATGGGAACAAGTTAACAAGTCCATCCCAAGAGATGTAACCAATAGGAACCAGCAAGCACTTGTAAGAGGAACCCACCAGTAATGCACTCTACCAGTAATGGACTGCTACCTGTTAAGTTATGCCTGGGGAGGTTTGGTTAGGACTTTGTGACTGTTTGCAACTGTGCTATTTCAGCCGTTAAGAAAAGTTTGTTTAACCTTTTAAAAGCCTGGTCTAAAGTTACTCAAAGGTGTGCCAGGAGGTACAGTTGTGTTCAAAATAATAGCAGTCAGACATCACTAACCTGATCAATCACTGTTTTTGGTAGAAATTATATTTCTACATGGCAAATAATTTATTAGCAGGTGTAGTAGAGTAATAGAAATCCAACAGACCCAACAGTCATGACATGCATGCTGCTGATTCTGTGTAATTGAATCACTAATTGAAAGGGGCATGTTCAAAATAATAGCAGTGTAGAGTTCTATTAGTGAGGTCATTCATTCTTTGAAAAACAGGTGGCAATTATTGCCCTTACTTAAGGAAGGAAGGCAGCAAATGTTGTACATGCTGGTTACAGTGCATTTCTCTCTGAAATTCTGAGGAAAATGGGTCGTTCCAGACATTGTTCAGAAGAACAGCGTACCTTGATTAAAAAGTTGATTGGAGAGGGGAAAACATATAAAGAAGAGCAGAAAATGATAGGCTGCTCAGCTAAAATGATCGCAAATGCTTTAAAATGGCAACCAAAACCTTGAAAGATGTGAAGAAAGCGAAAAACTACCCTTTGAATGGATAGAAAAATAGCCAAAATGGCAAGGCCTCAGCCAACAATCAGCTCCAGGAAGATCAAAGAAGGTCTAAAGTTACCTGTGAGTACTGTTACAATTAGAAGACGACTATATGAAGCCAAGCTATCTGCAAGAAGCCCCCGCAAAGTCCCACTGTTGACATGTGCTGAAGAGGTTACAATATGCCAAAGAGCACATTGACTGGCCTAAAGAGAAATGGCGCAACATTTTGTGCACTGATGAAAGTAAGATTGTTCTTTTTGGGATCTAGTGGCCAGAGACGGTTTGTCAGACGACCCCCAAACACTGAATTCAAGCCACAGTACACTGTGAAGACAGTGAAGCATGGTTGTGCAAGCATCATGCTATGGGGATGTTTCTCATACTACAGTGTTGGGCCTATTTATTGCATACCAGGGATCATGGATCAGTTTGAATACATCAGAATACTTGAAGAGGTCATGCTGCCTTATGCTGAAGAGGAAATGCCCTTGAAATGGGTGTTCCAACAAGACAACGGCCCCAAACAAACCAGTAAACGTGCAACATCTTGGTTCCAGACCAACAAGATTGACGTTATGGAGTGGCCAGCCCAATCCCTGGATCTTAATCCAATAGAAAACTTGTGGGGTGACATCAAAAATGCAGTTTCTGAGGCAAAACCAAGAAATAGAGAAGAACTGTGGAATGTAGTCCAATCATCCTGGGCTGGAATATCTGTTCACAGGTGCCAGAAGTTGGGTGACTCCATGCAACACAGATGTACAGCAGTTCTCAGAAACAGTGCTTATACAACTAAATATTAATTAAGCGATTCAAAGGAAAGCAAAATCTTCAAACATTTTTCAGTTTATATAGTGAATGTTTGAGTTTGTAAAGAAGAATACAAACACTGCTATTTTTTTGCACAGTCTAATATTCACTTTTCTTCAATTTTGTTAGAGGAACAAAACAAATTTGATATATTTTTCTTCCTGTTTTGATTTGGAATAGAATGTGTAGTGTTCCCAATGCATTTGTGTGTATGGAAATAAAAGCTATTAGAAGGATTTTGAGCTTTATTCACTTTATTCAACACACTGCTATTATTTTGAACACAACTGTACCTGATATATCTCTATAAGAACAGGGCCTGTAGAGCACACATGTGGTGAAGAGGAAAGCCAGCACAAAGGTTTAACTCAGAAGTAGAGTCAGAGGAGAGCAGTTGGCACAGGTAATTATGAACCGGTGAGAATGTAATGCAGTCAGATGTCAAGGAGCGGTACCAGGCTCGGGTGACAGGTGCTCCGGTAGTGGTGGCGGAGGGGGGAGAGTTGATATGCTTCTCTAGATGTCAGTTCCCCATGTATCCAGCCGCATGCTACAGGAGAGAGATGGAGTTAATTATGTGTATGCATCAGGTCTTTGCTAGTGCCTGGCTGGACCCCATTCTGTCACTGAAAGTAAGGTGGCAGAGTTATCATGGTCTGGTGAAGCAGGGAATAGGCTCAATGGTGCCCCACTTAAATGCAGCATTCAATGAGCAAAGGTGTGCAGCGACATGGGACAGAACGTTTTACAGAAGGACTCTCTATGCCACATAGTTACATAGTTAGTCTGGCTGAAAAAAGACAAAAGTCCATCCAGTTCAACCATTAAAAAAACCCAGCAAAGCATGACCAAATTTTGTTCCTGCAGGGAAAAAAATTCCTTCCTGATCCCCCAAGAGGCAATCGGATATTCCCTGGATCAACTGTGATAACCTTAGGGTGAATAGCTCTACACCAAATTCACTATATGAACCACTGATCTATTTATACATGTTGATCATATCCCCCTAAATCTCCTCTTCTCAAGAGAGAACAAATTCAGTTCCTGTAATCTTTCCTCATAGCTGAGCTCCTCCATGCCTCTTATCAGTTTGGTTGCCCTTTTCTGTACTTTCTCCAGTTCCCTAATGTTCTTTTTGTGAATTGGTGCCCAAAACTAAACTGCATATTCCAGATGAGGTGTTTACTAATGATTTGTACAGGGGTAAAATGATGATATCTGTCTCTCTCTCTGGAGTCTATATGTCAGGACGCGGGTGTTCTGCAGCATCGCGCCGGGCGGCATATGCGCAGAACACCAGTCCTCACTAGCCGACGAGCGACGGGACCTGGGCGTGCGCGGCGGCGGCTGCGGTGTTCGCGCAGGCGCACTCGCGATCGCGCGCTCCTGGCACCAATGACAGCCCAGGGCGGACTATTTAAACGAACTAAGGTATGTCAATTGCCGTTTGGTCTTACCTGCTCTGTTCCTGATATTGTGTTCCTGTGTATTCTGTTGCCGACCTCTGCTTGTACCTGACCCTGCTTATTCTCCTGATTAACCCCTGGCTTGCCTGATGATTCTTCTGCCTGATCCCTGGTACCGCGCGCTGCCCGCGCTGCCACAAACCTGCTGAACCTGGCTTGTGACCCCGACCATTCTCTGCTCGCTCCTCTTGTACCTCGCTGCCCGCACGATACCGACCCGGCCTGCCTGACTACGCTTACTTCACCCGACGATCCATCCATCCTGCACGGATCACGCACTGTTAGTAAGTCTGCCTGCCTCTTCCCATCAGACTCCGTTCTCGCACTCCCCTGCCAGTGCCCTCTACCACTGCCGGACACACTCAGGGGTCGCGACCTGGTTCCAGTCTGCACCAAGTCCATCCCCACCATCAGGGGCCCTGGTGATTAGTAGGCTGGGACTTAGACCCCCGCGCCCTGAGGAAATCCGTGCTGTGGGCTGCTAGAGACACTGCCAGGCGGCTCTTAACAGTACCAAACAGCCAAGATGTCGGAGCCTGGAAGAGGAAATCCCCACTGGAGGATATATGTCGGCACCTGGCGGCTCTAACTCAGGCGGTAAAGACACTGCAGGAGGGCTACACCCATCTGGACGGTCGGATCCAGACATTGACCACTGCCATTTCGGCACTCCAAGACCCGGGTCCCTCACCCTCGGCCGGCAGTACTTCCGGAACCCCGGCCGGACCAGCAGGGCCTACACTTATGCCGCAACCTCATGTTCCTATCCCCGAGCGATTTAATGGGAATCGCACAAAGTTCAGAGCTTTCTGTAATGCCTGCCAGCTGTACTTCAGGCTGCAGCCACGGACATTCGCCACTGAATCCGTAAAGGTGGGGTTCGTCATTTCTCTGTTGCTGGACGAACCCCAAGAATGGGCTCATCGGTTACTGGAAACCCAGCAACCACCGCAGCTGGAGTCAGTATCAGCGTTCTTCGAAGCGATGGCCCTCCTGTACGATGATCACGAACGAGCAGCTTCAGCTGAGTCGGCCCTTCAAACTCTCAGACAGGGTCATAGGGCGGCCGAGGAGTACGCAGTGGAATTCAGGTGCTGGATGGGAGACACACAGTGGAACGATGCAAACTTGCGCAATCATTTCCGCATAGGCCTATCCGAGTCCTTAACCTCCTTGGCAGTATTCCCGAGTGTAGCTCGGGGTATAGAATTTTTATATCAAGAACGGTAACCCCGAGCTACACTCGGGCTTACCATGCAGCGTTCTCTGGGGGTCCCTGCAGCACTTGCCTTGTCCTTCGCTCCCACGATGGGTCCCCTGCAGCGTCCCGTCCATCTCCTCCGGCGGATGCCGGCATCTGGCTTCCGTGTTCCGGTCCCCGTGACGTCGGAACGTTCGGGCGGCGGAACCGGCGGGAAATTTGAAATTTTTAAAAAATGACATTTTTGCTGTCATTGCTTTTTCACTGCATTTCACATACATTTTGTCCCCACTGCTTTGTCCTGTGCCCTGCCTGCATTTTGACTGTTCTTTCTGCCTGGAAACTTAGAAAAGTCCATAGCGGCCAAAAAAGCATCCCTTTACGTCAAAAGCAGTTTTTAGAACAGCGATAGTAAATCAGAACCACTTGCAGAATTGAGTGATAATGATTTGTGGGGAAATTCGTCATCAGACACTGAAAACGATTTTGCGACTTTGCTCAGCGATGTGCGAATTTGCCTCTGTATTTCAAATTTCAGTGTTTTTTGGTTTGATTATATTATTGAATTAAATTTTATTATTATTATATTATTATTTTTATGAGTATTTATTAAATTAAATTTTATTGATTTTGTGTTTCAAGTTTTATCATATCCAGAATGTTTAATAGACTCTTTTTCGGATAGATTTCAGTGAGTTATTCCTAAAAATTACAGCCTACAATAAAAAACTACATATTTCCATGCAAAAAAATGGTACCGCTTTCAGCACAAAAAATCGAAAAGAATCATACCACCAAGGAGGTTAAAGGATGAACTGGCCAGGGTAGGCATACCAGCCACGCTAGAAGATCTTATTACCTTGGCTATCCAGATCGACCGACGCTTGCGGGAGCGCAGGATGGAAAGGTCAGGACAGGGTCTGAGGCCTGCATGGATGTTACCCCATGTCTCAGGGCAGGTCAGTAGCCCTACTGGGGATCACAATCCGGAAACTCCAGGTCCACCTGAACCAATGCAAGTGGGGCTAGCTCGTCCCACAACCTGTGCCTCTACTGTGGGGAAGCGGGCCACATGGTACGTTCCTGTCCAGTGAAAGCGGGTAAGTGCGCATCTGTTTACTCTGCCACATCTTCTACAGCCAGTCACAATGTCAGTTACTTAGCAGTCCCCATCTCATTCCAGCTCCCCGGAAGGGTCGTGACGGCAACAGCGATCATTGACTCCGGAGCCTGTAGCTGTTTTGTGGATTTGGATTTTGCAGCTCGATTCCAGATTCCCCTACAAGTTAAGGAATGTGGGTTTAACATTTTTTTGGCTGATGGGTCCCGAATCAAGTCAGGGGTGGTGGACCGAGAGACCCCACCTCTCTGTGTGACAATTACCGGGACTCATCAGGAATTCCTTTGTTTGGATGCTATCACATCCCCTCTGTTTCCAATTATTCTGGGGCTTCCGTGGCTGCGGGCCCACGACCCCCAGATTAATTGGAAAGCTGGTACCCTCCAATTCAGCTCACCATACTGCCAGGAGCATTGCGGTCCACCTGAGCCGGTGGCTCCGCGCGCACTATTATGTGTGGATACTGACACAGAGCTGACACAACTTGTTCCCCCAGCCTACCATAAATTCCTTGACGTATTTAGTAAAGGAGGAGCTGACAACCTTCCCCAGCACAGGGCCTATGACTGGCTGATCGACCTACTCCCAGGATCTGAGGTACCTTTCGGGCGAATTTTCCCCTTGTCAGAAGGGAATTGGGGGTATTCAAGGAGTATATTGAGGAGAACCTCCAGAAAGGGTTCATACGCCCCTCCACATCTCCGGCCGGGGCGGGTATTTTTTCTTCGTTGAGAAGAAAGACAGATCCTTGAGACCCTGTGTGGACTACAGGGAGCTCAACAAGATTACAGTAAAAAACCGTTACCCACTTCCCTTAGTACCGGAACTGTTTCAGCGACTTAAGACAGCATCTATTTTCACGAAACTGGATTTAAGGGGGGCTTACAACCTGGTCCGTATTCGGAGGGGGGGATGAGTGGAAAACTGCTTTCCGTACGAGGTTTGGGCACTTTGAGTACTTGGTAATGCCCTTCGGTCTATGTAACGCCCCTGCAACTTTCCAGCACTTCATTAATGACGTGTTCAGGGACTTCTTGGATGTTTTTGTGGTCATCTATCTTGATGATATTCTAATCCTTTCTGCGTCCCTGGAGGAGCATAGGGGTCATGTCAAAAGTGTGCTGGAACGGCTCCGTTTACATGGCCTATATGCAAAAGCAGAGAAATGCAGCTTTCAGCAGCACAGTATCCCCTTTTTAGGTCTAGTCATTTCAACGACCGAGTAGCTAAGGATCCCCAAAAGAACTCTGCAATTCTGGAATAGCTGGTGCCGATGGATAAGAAAGGGTGTGCAGCGGTTCATTGGTTTTGCCAATTTCTACAGAAATTTTTTAAGAATTTTTCAGGCCTGGTATCCCCCATCACTCATCTCACCAAACAAGGAGTACATTTCAGGTGGACACCTGAGGCACAAGGAGCTTTTGAGTCTCTGAAGAGGTTGTTCACCGAGGCCCCCCCCGTATTGAGTCATCCAGTTTCCTCACTACCCTACATCTTGGAGGTGGACGCATCCGAAAACGCTGTAGGGGCCAATACTATCCCAAAGGAAGGGAGTCAAGGAGTTGATGCATCCCGTGGCATTCTTCTCCAGAAAACTGTCATCTGCAGAGAGGAATTATGACATAGGGGATCGAGAACTTCTGGCCATCAAGGCAGCATTAGAAGAGTGGAGGTACTTACTGGAAGGAGCCGTGCACCCGATACTAATTTTCACGGACCATAAGAACCTTGAATACTTAAGAACGGCGAAACGCTTGAGAGCACGTCAGGCTAGGTGGGCACTCTTCTTCTCTAGATTTGTGTTCCACATTACATACAGACCCGGATCAAAGAACACGAAACCGGATGCACTCTCGCGTATGTTCGAAGATCCGGAACCCCACAAACCTGACACCATTTTGTCTTCTGGGAATTTTCTTGCTTGCACTACAAACCAAGCTACGGTCCCAACTACAGGCAGCGTCCATAGGAATTCCAAATCTTCCGGTGTGCCACTACAGAATAAGGAAGGACTGTGGTGGAAAGAGGGACGAATCATGGTACCTGAAGAATCCTGCACCGCAGTCTTGGTTCACTGCCATGACCATCCTCTGGCTGGCCACTTTGGGGTCCGGAAAACATTGGAACTTTTGCAACGTGTGTTTGGGGTGGCCCAGCATGTCGAAGGATTGCGAGGCTTACGTGAAGACCTGTGTGGTCTGTCAAAGGAATAAGCCCTCCAGGAGCAAGGCTTGGGGTCTGTTGCAACCCTTACCCCGTACCTAACAGGCCGTGGGAAATGATCTCCATCGATTTCATTGTAGAGCTCCCACCATCTCAAGACCATACCGCCATTTTTTGTGATAGTGGACCCGCCTATCTAAGATGGCCTATTTCTTGCCTCTTAAGAACACATTTATCTGCTGCAGAGACAGCTCAAATTTTTGTGAAAGAGGTGGTAAGACTTCATGGAGTCCCAAAGGATATTGTTTCGGATAGAGGAGTCCAGTTCACCTCAAATTTTGGAAGGCACTATGCGAGACCCTGGGAATCAAGTTATCATTATCTTCAGCATACCATCCACAGACCAATGGACAGACGGAACGTACAAACCAAACCTTGGAACAGTATCTATATGCTATACGTCATTCCTTCAGGATGATTGGCTAACTCTTTTACCACTGGCCGAATTCGCTTATAATAACGCAAACCACTCTGCTACTCAACAATCTCCATTTTTTGCCAACTATGGGTTCCACCCGACTTTTTTACCTGACACGATTCCACAGAGTTCGGTACCAGCTACACAAGACATGTTGCAATTCTTTTCAACGAATAATAGGGTCTTACAAGAGGCGATCACGAAGGCTCAGGAGGGCAGTAAGAAAGCCTTTGATAAAAGAAGAGGTGAGCTTGTTCTGCACACCTGGGGACCAGGTCTGGTTGGCCACAACAAACCTAAAGATGACATGCCCATCAAGGAAATTGGGACCAAGATTTATGGGCCCTTTTAAGGTGAAACGGAAGGTTAACGAAGTAGCGTACGAGCTCATACTTCCTGAATCTTTTAAAATACACCCAGTATTTCACGTATCCTTGTTAAAACCCGCGGCACCGGACCCATTCCCGAACCGGAGATCTAGGCCTCCAGAGGCCATAGATGTTGATGGGGAAGAAGAATTTGAGGTTGAGACAATTCTAGACTGCAGGAAGAGGGGAGACCAGACCCAATTTCTCATTAAATGGAAGGGGTATGGTCCGGAAGAGAATTCATGGGAACCTGCCCAGAACGTTCATGCCCCTAGGCTGATTCGGGAATTTTTTTGATAAACCATCCACACAAGAGGGACAATTGGGCATCCGGCGGCTGCCTGTAGGGGGGGGGGCAATGTCAGGACGCGGGTGTTCTGCAGCATCGCGCCGGGCGGCGCATGCGCAGAACACCAGTCCTCACTAGCCGACAAGCGACGGGACCTGGGCGTGCACGGTGGCGTTCGCACATGCGCACTCACGATCGCGGACATGCGCCTGGCACCAATGACAGCGCAGGGCGGCCTATTTAAACAAGGAACTAAGGTATGTCAATTGCCGTTTGTTCTTACCTGCTCTGTTCCTGATATTGTGTTCCTGTGTATTCCGTTGCCGACCTCTGCTTGTACCTGACCCTGCTTATTCTCCTGATTAACCCCTGGCTTGCCTGACGATTCTTCTGCCTGATCCCTGGTACCGCGCTGCCCACAACCTGCTGAACCTGGCTTGTGACCCCGACCATTCTCTGCTCGCTCCTCTTGTACCTCGCTGTCCGCACGATACCGACCCGGCCTGCCTGACTACGCTTACTTCACCCGACGATCCATCCATCCATCCATCCCGCACTGTTAGTAAGTCTGCCTGCCTCTTCCCATCAGACTCCGTTCCCGCACTCCCCTGCCAGTGCCCTCTACCACTGCCGGAAGCACTCAGGGGTCGCGACCTGGTTCCAGTCTGCACCAAGTCCATCCCCACCATCAGGGGCCCTGGTGAATAGTAGGCTGGGACTTAGACCCCGCGCCCTGAGGAAATTTGTGCTGTGGGCTGCTAGAGACACTGTCAGGCGGCTCTTAACACTATACCTCTTTTATTACAAGAGAAGATTTTGCTTGCTTTAGAAACCACAGCTTTGCATTGCATGCCATTATTAAGCTTGTGATCTGCCAGAACTCCCAGATCCTTCTCCACCATTGATTTCCCCGGTTGTACTCCCCCTAGTATGTATGATGCATGCATAGTCTTATCCCCCAACTGCATAACCTTACATTTATCAACATTAAACCTCATTTGCCACATAGTTGCCCAATTAAACAGTGCATTGAGGTCAGCTTGTAAGTTGGAGATATCCTGTAAGGATGTTATTTCACTGCATAGCTTGGTGTCATCTGCAAAGACTGATGTGTGATTTTTTATCCCAGACCCTATAGTGTTTTTAAATGCATTCAAAAGTAAGGGTCCCAACACTGAACCTTGGGGTACACCACTGACAACCCTTGACCATTCAGAATATGAATCATTAACCACTACTCTTTGAATACGATCTTTTAGCCAGTTTTCTACCCATTTACATACAGATTTTTCCAAGCATGTTGACTTTACCTTACACATTAGCCGTGACTGCACACAGTGTATGGCTCATCTCTAAACTAGGGTACCGTGTTGATTCTCACATGAACACGGCCCCATCTGGTCCCGGGCATTGATGAGCGTGTACACGAGGCAAAGGTACCCCTATGTGCACAGGCGAAGTGGCCCCACCTACAAGTGTGCTGATCAGCATACTCATAACTCATTGAAGCTTCCTAACTTAAAGCCCATAGGGAGGTATGGGCAGAAAACAGGAGGGAGAGTGTGCAGGAGCCTGACACTGCATCCGCGATCCACTGTTCGCGGATGCAATATTTTAAAGGCTCTTGTATAAAAAAAAAAAAAGATAACTGCACTTTTTTATCTGAAAAAATATGTGCATTTTTATTTTTTTTACTTAAATTGGAACTGCACTGTATCTGAGCACCACAAACAAAAAGTGCTATTTAATTAATTGTTAATGTTCAAAGAAAACTCACCCATCCATCCATACATGTCTCCTTGCTTTATTTTGCTGAGAATTAATTTTTAAAAACACCCCCTAGTATTTCTGGCCATTGCCATCTTGAGGAAGGGCAGATGATTTCTGTAGTATTTACTTCCTGGAATCTATCTGCCCTTAGATCAGGCACTGGCTGAGTGGAAAACCCTCTCTCCCTTCCTGAAAACTCCTGGGATGTACAGTGCCTTTCATACCTCTTGCAATTTTCCACTTTTTGTCATGTTACAACCAAAATTGTAAATGTATTTATTGGGATTTTATGTGATAGACCAACACAAATTGGCATAATTGTGAAGTGGAAGGAAAATGATAAATGGTTTTCAAATTTTTCTTTACAAATAAATATCTGAAAAGTGTGGCATGCATTTGTGAATAGCCCCCTTTATTCTGATACCCCTAACTAAAATCTAGTGGAACCAATTGCCTTCAAAAGTCACCTAATTAGTAAACAGAGTCCACCTGTGTGTAATTTAATCTCAGAATAAATACAGCTGTTCTGTGAAGCCCTCAGAGGTTTGTTAGAGAACATCAGTGAACATTTAAAGCAGGGTTAGGTTATAAAAATCATCCCAATCTTTGAACAGCTCACAGAGCACTGTTCAGTTTATCTTCTGAAAATGGAAAGAGTATGGCACAACCAGGGGCAGACTGACCATTCAAACACTCGGGCACTGCCAGAGGGCCCGGGGTCAGTAGGGGGCCCCATGAAATGACCCTGGTACCTTTTATAGGCTTTTTTTGGTTGTGCTTTGAGTGTGGGCAAGGACACAGGGGCCCCATGATTCCTTATTGCCTGGGGGCCCTATGAGTTGTCAGTCCGCCCTTGGGCACAATTGCAAACCTTCCAAGACATGGCTGTCCCACCTAAACTGACAGGCTAGGCACGGTGAGCATTAATCAGAGAAGCAGCCAAGAGGCCCATGGTAACTGTGGAGGAGCTGCAGAGATCCACAGCCCAGGTGGGAGAATCTGTCCACAGGAAAACTATTAGTCGTGCACTCCACAAATCTGGCCTTTATGGAAGAGTGGCAAGAAGAAAACCATTGTTGAAAGAAAGCCACAAGAAGTCCCATTTGCTGTTTGTGAGAAGCCATGTGGGGGACACAGCAAACATGTGGAAGAAGGTGCTCTGGTCAGAGACCAAAATTTAACTTTTTGGCCTAAAAGCAAAACGCTATGTGTGGTGAAAAACTAACACAGCACATGACCCTGAACACACCATCCCCACCGTGAAGGGAGACCAGGGACAGGGATTCTTGTCAGAGTTGATGGGAAGATGGATGAAGCCAAATACAGGACAATCTTAGAAGAAAACCTATTATAGTCTGGAAAAGACTTGAGGCTGGGGCAGAGGTTCACCTTCCAGCAGGACAACGACCCTAAACATACAGCCAGAGCTACAACGGAATGGTTTAGATCAAAGCATATAATAGCCCAGTCAAAGTCCAATCTGTGGCAAGACTTGAAAATTGCTGTTCACAGACGCTCTCCATCCAATCTGACAGAGCTTGAGCTATTTTGCAAAGAAGAATGGGCACAAAATTAACTCTCTAGATGTGCAAAGCTGGTAAAGACATACCCAAAAAGACTTGCTGCTGTAATTGCAGCAAAATTACAAAGTATTGACTCTGGGGGGGCTGAATACAAATGCATGCCACACTTTTCATGTATTTATTTGTAAAACATTTTGAAAACCATTTATCATTTTCCTTCCACTTCACAACTATATGCCACTTTGTGTTGGTCTATCACATAAAATCCCAATAAAATACATTTACGTTTTTGGTTGCAACATGACAAAATGTGGAAAATTTCAAGGGGTATGAATACTTTTTCAAGGCACTGTATGACATCATTTGCCTAGGCATGGAAAACAAAAAGTAACTAAAGAAATGCAAACAAATAAATAAATTTAAAACAAGTAAATATGATACACTTTCCTATCTAATTACTAATGCTAGCAGCATAAGGATTAGAAATAGTCAATGTTGATTGAGAGAGTGAAGTTCTGCTTTAAAGGTAAACTTGAAAAAAATCTCTTGCTGAGTCCAGTACCTCCACTGAGGAAAAATGAATATGAACCAAAATTACACCTTTACCCAGTAGCACCACATAGTGAATGAGCTACAGAACCATATTTCATCTCTCAGATAAAATGGCACTCTGAATGCCATTATTTCTAAAGTGAAAGGTGATAGCCCATTAACCCCCCTAGTGGTATTCCCGAGTGTAGCTTGGGATTAATTTTCAGTACCAGAAGCAGTAACCCCGAGCTACACTCGGGAATACACTGCAGCGTTGCTCAGAGAATCTCTCCAGCACTTACCTTGTCCTGCGCTCCCGCGATGTCCCCCCTGCAGCATTCCCGGCCATCTCCTCCGGCCGATGCCGGCATCCGTCTTCCGGGTTCCATTCCCTGCGAGCGTCGGGACGTATGGGATGTACGGTAGATGGAACCGGCGGGAAATTCAAAAATTTTGCATTCACTCAATACACTAAAATCTCATAGCATAACATTACTGTATCAAACCATTTCAAATACCTGTACATTTTGTCTCTAGAGCTTTGTCCTGTGCCCTGACTGCATTTTTACAGTTTCTTCTGCCTGGAAACTGAGAAACGCCCATGGCATCCAAAAAGTGTCCCTTTAGGTCAAAAGCAGTTTTAGACCAGCTAGAGAACAGCGATAGTAAATTAGAACCACTTGCAGAATTGAGTGATAATGATTCATGGGGAAATTCGTCAGACACTGAAAACGATTTTGTGACTGAGCTCAGTGATGTGCGAGCTATATTTTAAATTTCAGTGTTTTTGGTTTGATTACATTATTGAATTAAATTTATTATTCTATTATTTTTTTATGATTATTTATTATATTATAATTTATGATTTTGTGTTTCAGATTTTATCATACCCCAGGATGTTTACTAGACTCTTGTTCGGACAGATTTCAGTGAGTTATTCCTAAGAATTACAGGCCTACAATAAAAAAACAACATATTTCCATGCAAAAAAATGTACCGCTTTGAGCACAGAAATACTGACATAATCAGACCACTAGGGAGGTTAAGGAACTTGACCCATCAGACTGAGAATACTTAGCGGGATTTCTTATTGCTCCCGGGGGAGTTAAAAAAGCAGTCAAGAGATTTTGGTTTACAAATTACCATAATTACATCCAATTATAAAATACAGCAACAACTTTTATTAAAGACTAAGCATTTATTACATTCATAGAGAAAGCAGCAATAATGCCCAGGCAGTTACTGCAGTGTAGACAGTCATTAGTTATAAGGCCAAGACAGCTTTAAAGGCTTTCTGTTGCATGGGAGAGTATTATATGGGAGGCGGCAAGTGCCAAGTGAGCAGTCCAAGAGTGCAGGAGTCGTGTTCATCATAAATGCTATATATAAATGCTCTTATATTCATGTATTTGTGCACAGATGTGCATAATTTAGAAATGTACATATATATTTACACTTCTTCCCAACCCCCCCATGCATGGAAAAAAGTAGAGAAAGATTAATTTTTTTTTTCACACACTGCACCTTTTGCTTTGGAGTTTCAGGAAACAACATGCCTCTATTTAGTAATATATTTACATATAACCAATTAAACTGCTTATTTTCTTACGATCTAAGAGGAGGCAGTCTTTTATTGTGCTATGCAAGTTAAAATAATTATGAATACAATGAATAATTATAAATACAATTATGTAATGGAGAAAGTGCTTATCCTTTTTATATATTGTGACCTCTCTGTTAAAGTAATTCCTGTACTTCCAGGGCTCTGTGCTGGTACATGGTCCATTCAGCCATTTCTGTGATTTCCCAGGAAAAAGTGTAGATATCATGCTTTTGGCTTTTCTGGCTTTGAGGCATTGTCTGTATTATCATTTACTGAAGAACTCACAAGGCAGTCTTTCCTGGAAGGAAAAAAAGGTTCACATGATGAAAACACATCCAATAAAGGGAAGCTCAATCACCAGATAATTAACTACCTCAATACTGGACACGTTCACCCCTTCCTGACCAGGCCAATTTTCAGTTTACAGTGCTGTCACACTTTGAATGCCACTTACTCAGTCATGCAACACTGTACCCAAATTACATTTATATCATTTTTTTTCACACAAATAGAGCTATTTGTGATATTTAATCACCAATGGATTTTTAATTTTTTGCTAAATAAATGAAAAAAGACCAAAATGTTTGAAAAAAATAATGCATATTCTTTGTTCCGTTATAAAATTTTGCAAATAAATAAACAAACGTTCTTCATAAATTTAGTCCAAAATGTATACTGCTACATTTCTTTGGTGAACATAACCCAAATCAGTGTTTATTGTTTAGCCTTATTGTTATATATCTGAGAATCAATCAATCCTGATGTACTGACGGCGCATCTAATTTCTTGAGGTCTGAAAATGCTGGGACAGTACAAATACCCTCCAAATGACACCTTTTTGGAAAGTAGACATTCCAAGGTATTTAGTAAGAGGTGAGTTTTTTTAAGTTGTAATTTTTTTTGTCACAATATTTTGGAAAACGAAGAAATTAAAACTGCTGGGCACCAGAGGGAGGTGCTTATATGGGCCAGACTTTATAAATGTATGAGGGAGGTTATTATTTTTCATTTGAACCTTCCCATGGATGGTGCCCCCAAACTGCTGGGCACCAGAGGGAGGCGAGGATACCATCATTCATATACAATTTGTTCAACACAATCTGTTTCCTCCTCTAGACTACATCTGGTCTGGCTTTCCCTTTGGACCTTTTAATGGTTGGCCCCTACAGGATTTATTTGGTCACCTATCTAGTGTAAGAGGGTGGTCAGTGCTAACTACAAGTGAACACAGGATATCCTCGGATTACACGCTACTATCTCTACATCGGGCTAAGCTATCTTTAAACGCATTGTATTCCTTTCCTAAGGTTATGACACGAGGATCATCCCTTTGATGAGGACTTAAAGTCATTAATACTGGAACTCTATATGCTGAGCACTTTTGGTCAATGTGTCACTTTGGGTGGGGGGCCCATGGAACCCAGCTCACTTTGGAGAGGTGGGGAGACCCCTGTCTCAGCTCCCCATATCCCTATTATGTGTAAATCACCCTGTGCCTGTTAGGGGTACAGGGTAATCTGTCTTAATATTGTGTAGACATGTTTAGGAGATAGGCGGGGTGGGGGTTGTGGATTGTTTGGTGTTGTGTGACTGCATCCCATTGTTCTGTTGTTTGTCAGGCTTGGAAGCAAACTATTATGGGATGTATGTGTTTATGTGTATTAGCTTAGAGAGGGGGTGTCCCCAGCAGCCCTCCCTCCTGATGGGGCTGTCTCTTGTTACTAAATGTAGATTGTCCCGCCCTGTGTCATTATGCAGGGAGGGGGGATTGTCCCTTGAGTGTATATATCTTGTATCTGTGTTCAAATAAAGTAGTCTACCTCCTGGTTTACTTCAGGACTGGTGTTGTCTAGTCTTGTATGGTCGGCTGTGGCGTCTGTTGTCGGTGTTCAGATGGTGAAGCGGTAGTTCAGATGGGGAAGTATTCAAGAGCTCTCTGGGTCAGTTCCGTTACAGTCAATATGGGAGAATTTGATGTCTATGTATGCGCTATTGGTACCCCCTAAAAAGGGAGCACAATGCAAGACCTTTGGAGTGTGGTGTTTTTGTTTTGCTATGCTTTTAAAGATGTCTTTGTTTGAATTAAAGGAGTCGTTCATGTGCTTTTTGACCACCAGCCTTATTATTTAATATATAAATTTAATAAAAAAATCCACCAATCCTGTTTGTATCCATAACTAGTCATTTTAGTTTGGTTTACACATTTTATTTTTTACATACTGTTACCAGTGCAGTACAGTGTCATCATATAACTGGTGTGGCAGTTATCAGGGACACTGACTGGTGACAGTATGTAAAAATATGTATTACTTTTTTTACATACTGTGACCAGAGCAATACAGCGTTACAACTGTGACACTGTAATACTTTGGGGAGGTGATCAGGATTTTTTATTTCACCAACTATTATTGCTTATAACAGTGATAATCACTGTTATAAGCAACCATTTTTTCATAAACCCGGTGTGTACTATTGTGAACCTGTGTAAGGCCACAGCTATCACATGGTAGGATGCACTGTGATTGGCACTGTCTGTACTATGTGATCACTATGACCACAGAGATCAACAAAATAGTACACACTGAATGGCTATGAATGGGAGCCATTCATTGTGTACAAATGCCAAGTGACCTGCTGTGACTGGTCACAGTGATCACATGGTACTGGCAGTGGCTCAGTACACTGATTTGTCATATCACATCCACCCAGCATGACAGCACTCCCACTCAGCTGTCATTCTATTATAGGCCAGACGGGAAGCTGTTACAACGTACACACTGACATGTTTTGTTTTTTTTTTCATTCAGCCAGCGGGTTGAATGGGAAAAAAACTGACAGATCCCCATACCAACACAAGAGATGTTGGTGTGGCGATCTCCCCTGCTGTTCTACTTATATCTGATCACAGGGAGGCTCCATTGGCTGCGAGAGATGATCGAATGCTGGTTTTCCAGCATGTCCCTTCAACAGAAACTGATCATTAGAAATAAGTTCAGGAGACATTACTTACCTTACAATGTGATGTGTCCCTTGTGTTGCTGTGTCCAACTTTAGCAGAAATCTTCCTCCTATGTGATCAACCCACAAACTCCACCACCATAATCTTCTGGTGCAGCAGGGGTTGTAAGAACTAGGAAGCTGTCATAGGCTCTCATCAAGTGTGCTTGATTATGCCTCCCTTTCTGCCCAGCACATCTATTTATAGTACAACAGCTTCTATGAATTAAACACAATCTATTGACCTTTTTATTGCCAGGTTCGTCCAGCAGGCCAGGTCTGTACAGACCTATATTCCTCCTCTGCTATAAGCTCTGCTATAACTTAGAGCAGAAATGTTCAACAGAGTCTGCTGAACAAAACAATAGCTCTGATTAGGGGCTAACAAGCTGCTGATCAGAGCTATTCACCTAAAATGCCCCCCCCCCCCCCCCCGATATAGCCGCTGCCTTTTAACAGCCCACCTGCTGCTGCCCGGGACTCTAGAGATCTGTCAGTGACAGATCACGATCAGGATGATATGTAGTGATCACTGTTCATCAATAGTGATCAGTAGTGATTAGTGTTCATTCATCGATGTGTTTAGTATGTGCACAGTCCTCTATACAGACTCCTATCATATTCATTACAGTGCAGCCCAGGTAACAGAAAAAGGGAATGTCTTCAGTCCCTTTTTCTGTTTCAAAAAGGACATTAGTAAGGGTAGATTTATATTTGCGTTCAGATTACACTCCAGAGGCTACTGACAGGCAGTGAGGAAGCGATTCAATGCCTCCCCACCACCTGTTTTAACCCCATTTTTGCTGACAAATGCGCTACAACCGCGTGCATTGCATGCAGTTGCAGGCGCTTCCTCAGACTTGAATATGTAGCATTTAGAAGGCAGCAACGCTACAAGTCAGGTCGACTGTGCTGCAGGTGTGCAGTGAAGCATCACGGTCGCAGCATTTAACCACTTGCTTCACAATCACAAACCTGGTACATTATTGTTCTTCAAGTGGTTGTACTGGGGTGATGCCTGCAGGCATCACCCCGGTACCACCCTTTAGAATCGGCGGTCCTCTCTCTTGTAATAGCAAATGGAGTGGCTAATAAGTCATTGTCAAGAAAGGAATCCCCATGTGTGCAG